AGGGCCTCGAAGGCTGCAGACTTACTGTCACAGCTTCAGATAAGGAGTCGCCAGACTTCAAGATGTCCCTAAGCTGTCCCTGATCTAAGGTAAAAATCTAAGCAGAGTTTGAGAGAGAGAGAGAACTGCTATTTTCTTTACTTTAGAGACATAAGCAATCAGAAAACAACATTACCCAGGGATAAAAAAAATACTAGTGGATTGAGCTTCCCTCACACCTAGTTCCTCAGCTAGTTGAAAATTAATTCTTTTGCACATTTATAACAAGAATATTTAAACAAACTAAGGCCTATTCCACAAAAGCTTTTTGTAACAGCAGCCAACTTATTCATATATTTACATAATGCAGCAGTAGGCGGGTTCTTAAGGCCATACAAGTTTCTCTAGTATAAAACAAGTAACAAAAATATTTGACACGAGAGACTTGGCTGTATTCTAAACTTAAGATCATCGTTATACAGTAGATTCATCTTCTCAATGACTAGACGACGACATGCGGGTGGCTGTGAATGGTGCTGGTAAACACGGTGGAGGAAATGTATATGTTTATCTCTCAGAATGTTCGGCAATACGTTTATTGCTTGTGATGTGTGTCTATGTATGTATTAACACGTTGTACTGAACGGGGTGAGAATAGCTTGAGCTACCTCATCCCTTTGTGTGTATTTTACCTCAATAAACTTATTTCAATTTCAACACGGTGGTGGTGGTGGTAACAAACGTAGTAACGACCAACATGAATAGAATAATGGAAGCATCTGTGGATGCAAGACAAAATAAAAACAATTTTCCCTCGTGATTAAATATTTTCACATTATTCATCACGTGTTAAATGTATATACATGTATGTATGAGTATGTGTACATGTATATATAACAATAATTGTGTAACTAGCGTCAAAAATTTATATTTGCTTACCTAAATGAACTAGAGGGTTCAGTTTCTGAACCGATTATATGCTTCTGTAATCCGGAAAAGGAGGCTTTCGGTGACATTCCCATTAATTAGGGCCTCTTGCTGCAGATAGACTTCGTTTTCAACTTACAATCGGGGATCCCAGGTTCCAGTCAAAGCGGGAAATGGTTGGATAAGTTTCCTTTCGTCTTGTGCATCTGTTCATCTAGCAGTAAATAAGTAGCTGGGAGTTAGACAAGGGTTGTGGGGTTGCCACCTGGAGAGGGTCAGTAGTACGACTTTGGGTACCTGGATACAAGCCTAATAGGAGGTATTCTCCATATACAGTTTGAAGTGCAGATATGATAACAGCCCAATAGGCTCATCAATAACTTTTACACCAGTTCATATGAGGAACTAAAGTCCCGAAATTAAACCCCAGTAAGCACTATCAGACGAGTACAAATTAAGTACATATTTAAGAATTCTCTTTTTGGACGTAAGTCTGTCTCGGGAATGAACGTTAATGAACAATAGTGAATAATTACCAACATGTTATTTAATGCGAGAAGTATAACATGATAAATGTGATTGCATTATAATGCAAGCAACAAAAAGATGCACCATATCTGTTTATTCCCAAGCGTTCAAATTTAGTACAATGGAATATATATCCGCCCCCTCCCTCCCCCCTATCCAGTAACGCCTACATAGTCACCATAATTCAACCTGGTAAATACGCTGGTGTTGAGTGTTACCGCCAGGGTCGGCTAGTTGATTTTGTTCTTGGTCACACACCTCACCGTCGGAACATTGGTCCCTGCAACCACCAAACGGCAGGTAGATCCCGTACTCATCCTGTGAGCGGTAGCGCAAAAAGGGGAGGTTACAAAGGGGGGGGCGCAATAACGGGGTTACAGAGAGGGGGGGGGGGACTCAAGATGGGGGTTACAGGAGGCGCAAAAAAGGGGTTACCAGGGACGCCAAAGGGGTTTACAGGGAGCATGAAAGGTCTTAATCTGGCCTCAGCAGGTATTTTTACATATAAATGTTAACCAACCTGCACACCTTATATTTGCAGTGACAGCTAGCAAGAAACTTTAATCACTGCAACATTATGACTTTCCATTATTATACACTAGGGGGGGGGAGAGGAACGGCACAAGGTTGCTCCCCAGGTTCCTGGTCTCTCTCTACACCTTATCTCTCTCCTCTCCAACTTTCTCCATGAAGATTCACCCCCTCGCACCCCCCCCCCTCACCCCCCACCCTCACTCCACCTATTACATAAAATTTAATTTACAGGATAATGGAAGAGTTGTTAATGATTTTTAGTTTCCTTTGCCATATATTCAAATTCGTTAGTGCTACGGGGGTTACTCTCATATTAAGATCAACTATATATAATTGGCCTTAAACCTAATTGCCATATCTAAATTCAAGCTTTATTTAGTTTAAAACCCAGGACACACTTTTTACCCACAGACTCAAGTGAAGGAAAAATACTCCATAGTTAAGGGCTAAGGAGCGACAGACGTGTTGAGTGTGGTGATGCCCTCCACACCTGGGTATGGGCACAGCATCACAACACGGTTCGACAAAGTTCATTTTCAGATTGTCAGAACCGCATATATTGTCAGGCTAGAATATATTACCTCAGGGTGAGTAAGGTAAGGTTAGGTTAGGTAGGTTTTAAAATATATTGGCGAACCGTCTTGTGTACAACGAGTAAGACATCCGCCACTCCAGGTGTCTGGATAATTACTATGAACGTTAACTTAAAACACGTTGACAGTCAACGTGCCATCAACACCGGAGTACAAGCTGTATTTAACATAACATTTCGGCGCTAAACACAAGAAAACATCATCAAATAGATCAAAATGTTACCAGAGGCGTTGCACAAAGTGATGGGAGGGGAGTGGGCGGATCTGCCAGACAACATGACCCACATTCACAAAGACGCGCTTTAGAAACACAGTCACACACGGGGAAATATCTAGAGATTTACCGTGAGGTTGCGCCCTAGGAAGCCCGAGGAGAGCGTCAGACAGGCTAGCGATAAGCAGGAATAATAATGTACAGGAGACGACACTGCTCCCCGGCCTGCCACGAGAAATACACTGAGGCTCCGAGCGTGCCTCACCCCACTGCTGGCTAGCTTACCAATCTAGTGGGAGACGGGCCCCTCACACCACTGGTACAACCAGTGGGTGGCAGGAACTTGGGGGATCTTGAATGCCTTATAAACATTCAACCTTCAGTAGTTTTCAGCCAGACGATACTGGCTGGTAGAATCGATGTGAATGGTGAAATGAGGAAGTATTTTGCTGGTCTAACCGCTCACTGCTGACAACTGTTGCTCCTCCCCCATCTCGACCCCACCGTTCCCTCCCAAGCAACTTCTCTCCCTCACTCCCTCACTGGCCGGACATCACCTTAACCTTGACTACGGAATGGGAAGACGCCCACTTCTGTTGCGAAGCTTCTCTCACTTCTGTAAACAGATTATGACCAAACAACTAAACGCTTCACGTGGGATAAACTCAAAGAAGCACGAAAACTTCAATACTCAACATTTTAAAATGTTCAAACTTCTCTAAACGGCGTTAGAGAATCTGTTCATGCTGCTACGGTACTGTACGGTACTGTTTACTAACAAATCGGGTGAATGCCAAATAAATTCATTTTTCTGTGTAAAGTTTCTATTAATTTCACTCTTCCACTACACAAGTACATCTTCGTAATTCACAATAAATACCAACACTACGAGATATTTCTCTGGGCGCTGTTGAAGAACAAATCTGACGCATATGATACTACGCAATTTCACAACTCAACTTTTGACTAGTTAACTAACTAATCAACACTAACTTGCTTACCTAACTAATTTTAGTGGCCCAGTTCCCGAGCCCAATATTTGTCCCTTAAGACTGACTTAAATACTGGTTTGGAAACAGGGTGTTGTATATAGGAGGCCTGGTCGCCTCCTGGCCTGGTATATGTGGAGGTCTGGTATATGTGGAGGTCTGGTATATGTGGAGGTCTGGTATATGTGGAGGTCTGGTATATGTGGAGGCATGGTCGAGGACCGGGCCGCGGGGACGCTAAGCCCCGGAAGCACCTCAAGGTAACCAAGGTAAGGTAGGTCATAAACTAGCCGCCTCCGACAGCCACAATCAGATCAAATCTCTGGGTAAACTGAAAAGCAGGTTACACTTCTAAGGGAAATATGGGTCATTACTAATCTCTTATCTTTGATTAGTTCGAGCGTTTGACTAAATGGGAAAGTAATTTAGCAAGACATTTAACCGCTTTATTAACCGGAATGACTCATAGTTCAGGGTGTCAAATGCGGCTGATATTTGGCGCAAACGGTACATCAATTGTCTGCGATGTTTTAACATATGAACACTAGCTTGAGGGGATCTGTAACACAGTTGGGTGTGTTCTTTACTGACAGCAGTAAAGCCCAGGCGGGGCAGAAATTGCTGGACACGTTTCTATTACCTAATGCCTCTGTTTATCTTTTTTTTATCTTTATTTAAGAAAATACAATATAAATCATATATACATACGTTTTACAAATAGGTACCCGGGAGTTAGACAACTGGTTATGGGGTTGCATCCTTGGGAGGGTAGGACTAGTAAATAAAAATGATTTACTAGTCCTACTGCCAACTGCCAGGTGAACAGCAGAACAAGGTGAAAAAAATATGCCCAACCATTTCTGCCTAGTTTGGGGATCAAAACCCGGGATCCTCGACTGAGGGTCTAGAGCAGTGATTGCAAAGTTCCAAGAATTGGCAAAAGCTTCTGAAAAAATCACCTTTTTCGTAATAACAAAAAACTTAGATTTTAATATGATCTATAATAAAACTATGAAGCATTTCGAGTTTTAGCCTCCTTAGATATTTGCAAGATGACAAGATTTTTTTTTTTTTTTTTTTTTTTACTTGGGAGGAAAAGTTGACAAGGCTGGGAATTTTCGAAGAGGTAAGGAATTAATAGACTATTCAAGAGCGGATAGGGTCGCGCCTTCTACTTTTGTTCTTTGGAAACAATAATGGAATACAATATTATACATAAAAATCCCACTGACTTACTTCTTCTATCAGTGGACTGAAGAAAGTTGGCAAATCTAGGCTGACATGGAGAGATTACAAGCATCTCTTCAGTAACTACATGCGAGTCTTTCCCATTTCCTTTTATATCTATCGTGGTGGGCCTTACTTCAGACACACTTTCTTGCCGTGTTTGACTCGCTCTACTTGACTGCATTTTCCCAAGTGGATGTACCTTGGGACCATCCACTTGGTGTCCAAAAGGAGAAGCTGGAGACGTGACAGGAGAAGGGGAGCGTTGTGGCAGGGAGTCGGGATCCTCCAGCTGGGAGAGGCTACGACTCCCACCACATATTAGCGAGCCATGTTCCATGCCTGCTCCCACACGTGTGCCTCCCATGCTCTCTCTACTATCCACATCTTTAACACACTCCATCGTCTTTATAGCATCACCCATTATTGATAATTACCACAGATTACTTTAGCTTATTTTCAAGACTTGCTGGTAAATTTCAGAGATTTTTCAACATCAGTTAGGTATAATTTACACTCGCCATATCACAATTCTGAGAATTTCTCAATCTTCAAGTACACAAATCACTTTCCCCATATAAACTAATGGATCCCAGGGAAAACATCAATTTAAAACTATTGTCACTAAAATGTTAGCCACATTCACAATATTTCGGCCATAATTCACTTCGACTTTTATGTCACTATAACAAAGACCATACTACAAGATTTGAAACTGAAAAGCCCTTAGTCATAGTCGATGCATTTTTCAAATTGCACCTACATAGTGAGAGGCTTAAAGGATGTCACACAGCTAAAACGGACACCTTAACCATTTTCTTAGTAGAATCGTTACACAAAACCTCATGACTGAACATCCACACATCCTCGCCCCGAAAAAAAAAGATAAAAATATTTTGCAGACACGGTACTACGTCTAATTATTAATAAACATTGCCATATTAGCGATCGCAAGAGTCTGGTCTAGTAGACAATACTGCTTAAATATACAACATACAACTTTAGATGATTACTACTACTATCAGGTACTTTTCTAACTATATTATTAATACATGTTTCAGCGCAACAATTAAAGCCACTGTTCTGCCCTTGTGTACACGAGGCTCCCGAGGCTACTGTGTGGCACGCTCTTTTAAAAGTTTAATAATAATTTTTATATTTAAATTCTTAAATTTGAATGTAAAGTTTCTTCAATTTATGTACAAGCTTAAGGTAATTATTGAATTATATCAACCCGAGAGCGATATTCTGGATCAAATGTTCGAGCAACTAATAACCAAACTGTTTTAAGGTAAATTATGAGGAGAAAACGCTAAGCCGATAAGACTCAAGTTGACTTGTTTCTGACCTAACTTCACCATTAAAGGAAAACTCCTACATAAGGCGCACTTCACTCTCAGATAAATGTATCCACTGGATCACTAAAACACTGTTTTATGCTGATTAAGTCGGCCAGCCGTATCCCGCTGCTAGCATAGTGCAGTGAACACTCCAAGACCCAACTGTTGAGGAAGTTAGTCCCCCACTGGCATAGCAGGCAGTGGGGCTGCAGCCAAATTAACCAGTGCCAAGGCGCACCTTGGTTGCTTCTAACACCCAGACTCTCAATAACCCCAGCCTCGTCTCTTAAGGTCATCATCAAGACATACAACCATCTTTCCCTATAATACGGGAATACGAGTAGACAGTTAAGATGCGTGAGACAACGATGAAATAGAAGAAAAACTCTTGCTAAGTGGTATGATTTAAGTATTCCGGAGAGGCGCGGTATCACGCCCACGTCTCTCACTAGACTGCCACCCTGCTACCTCCCACACAATGATATATCCTTCCATCATGGGTTAACACTCTCTACCTTATATACCCCAAGTTCGAAGCCTGACAATGTGATTGTGATGTATTCGATTTTGTATTATTATGCGTGCTTCATTTTTTGTTAGAATATACTGATGTCAAGTTGGGCTATGATATTTACCACTAAGATAAAAGTTTACTGTATGCCTGTTTTCAGTTTCTTATGAATTTATACTTCGATTTGCTTGAAGTTACGAGCGCATTGTGCATATATCAAGATGTTTCGTATACAGTCACGTTAGCTATATATATTGTGCACTTCACAGACGTTCAAGCTCTACTACGGGCTCACCATAGCCTGTGCTACTTGCCCCGCTCCTGTGCCAGGTAAGTTACGGGCTCACCGTTGGTCAGACAAAATAAAGTCCACTGCGCCACTGAGGCTACCACCGCAGCACCACTGACGCTACCACAACACCACCACAACGTATCCTCACCACTACAAACCAATAACATTTCCTTCTACAATCAAGCATGTCCATTCACTCCTCGAAACCCACCGACGGCTCTATATATTGAAATATTCCTGAAGCACTACAATGCTTTAACGTCTTATACACAGTTTAGTCCGCGTGACATTTGAGAGATTTAGATATGGATATTTTCAACCAAAGTCATCTGTATATGTACTTTTAACAAATCAACGTCGACTACAAGCATCATGCTGTACTCCATCACCAGATGTATTTCACAAGAGATACAGCATCACTACACTTCACTATCATGTAGACCTACCAACTGCGCGTACAAAAATGTTACCATTACGGACCGGAAATGCACTATAAACGCTACATGGTAACATTTCCCAGCAATTGGTCAACACCCTGTGACCCCATGTGCAGCCACCGGCAGTAGACCACGAGCTGTACTGCGAGTAGTGGGGGTGGAGACACGCACAAACGTTGTTATTGATTAAGGACGGCACATCCCCCTTCACCCACTGCCACAGCGCCACCAGGCCCTCACATTCTGCAGCTGTGCAGGCTTGTAGCTGCTGCTAGAAGATCCAGCTGCAGCGCCGCCCACTACACATGCGTAACGCCTCAACAAATTTATCATACAAGCATCAAGATGCTGGCCTTTCCTAGTTGACGACGGTTTTCCTAGTTTCCTTAGGCGCCCCGGCCCTCAAGCACGTGCCTGGTGTAGCGAGTAGATTACCCCAATAATATACTCGCTCCAAATTAATTAGCCTAACGTGAGAAGCAAAGCTCTTCTTGGTACTAATTATGGAACTCAAACCTTTCCCAACTTCCACATACTATTCCTGTCAACCTTTGGAGAACGGTGAGGTGTTGCCCGATTAAGGACGATTATTGAGCAGCAGAGTGGCGAATAATAACTAGTCTACTTTCAAGTGTGGTCTAGAACAGACACTTGCGAGATACTGTACCGACGCTCAGTGCGTTCAACTCACACCAAAGTATCACCTGCTTACTTCTGTATATTCGAAAAAATATATATATTATCTTAGTGTTTGTGTTTATTGTCACCATACTTTACATAACAATAGAACCACTACACCGGTCTAGGTACGAGGTTCTAGCTTGGTGAGTGACAGGACAATGAGCGACAAGGTCAAGGCACAGTAAAGTGGAGAAGTGTCAACCGGCATTACAATGGGTCTGGCAAGAGCACTGGGCATCCATACACACGTACGCCACTCCTTGTGTCATGCATAACTCTTCTTATCTTTTATATATGTAATTTCTGGCGCCTTCATGCTGTTCACAGCTTTCATTACACATTTGATGTTCTGTTTAGCCTTCCCTGCGTTCTTCCTGAAGTATGTGGTTCTTTCTATGAACTTAATATCTCAGTGACCCAATGTTGTCAAGTTACCTTAATTTAAGATGTAATCGCGTAATAATCTGTTGGATAGTTTTATTGTTATCCGCTATTTGAGTGTTATCCGCTTGTAAATTTAAACAATACCTTACCAATTACATGTTCAATATTGCAATATTCGGACAATATTTCTCTAATGATCCACATACGATAGCAATAAATGACATGAAAACTAACTGATAGCATAGATTTATTTCATTTTGTTGAAACCTGCTCACTTACAGACAATTAAGAATATCTACGCAGACATTCTACAAAAAGTTTTTTTTAGTCAATATTTCAGCTAAATTAACATAGTTCACACTGTGCGCTCTGACGTGAGAGAGCACGAGGCTCCAACATGTGATCAGCAGTTTTGGCTTTAATATTAATATATTGTGGATGACACACTTTTGAGGGAACTGTCCCTCTGCGCGTCATCTCGCCAGGCAATTGGGCTTTCATGCTAGGCTCGTACACACATCTCTAATACCTTGTGTCGGAAACACTGTAAATGTTAAACAAAATAATTGAATAATCAGATCCACAAAACGCACAATTTCATTGAAAAAGAAAATTATGGCTAGTGAAGGTGGCCAACGTATCATTAGTCAAATGTATATGTTTGTCACAGTTCCATGAGCATAGCCAACGGCTCAACAACTGCCAGGTTCCCCCCCAAGCACACGTGACTGAAACCATTAAGACACCTCTATCGTCGCACTCCTCTAGTGACACTGGCAGCACTATTGGGCGCGAGCCCACACCATCAAATGGCACCACAGTTTCACAGTAGGACAAAAACTTCTGGCATTAAAAGTATGAACTTACTGACGTCATACACAGTCAATACCACAAAAAACTTATTTCCATTGGTGGATAAAGTTTGTTTAGTTAATATAACCACAGGCAAGTCAAACTTTTCTTTGCCTACTCCACAGTTTGGCAAGATAATTGGTACTTGACAATATGATATCTGCTACAATAAGCCTCCCGACATATTTAAGAAAGCTTATCTTGATAAGCTTATCTCGCCTTATAACGTTGATAAGATATCGAATGAAAGGTACGTTATATCGTTTACGCTCGCTAGCTTAGGCTATCGCACATGCGCATTATGACGCATGCACGTTTTACGTGCATGCGTCATAATGCGCACGCGTTTTACAAAGCGAGACAAATTTTGTTTCCTCGTTATGTCAATGTATTAAAGTGCATTGCACATGTCACGTTATGTCACTGTATTAAAGTGCACATGTGTAAAGTG